CGATGATAATTTTCTTTTTTTTTTATAATTAAAATTTTTTAATTATAAAAAAAATGAAAGTATATAATTTTTAAACTTAAATAATTAAATAATCTATATAATTAAATATCTTCTATGAAAATTAAGATTAGAAATTTAGAAAGGAAAAGAATAAAAAATATGCATGTATTGTTATTTTATATTTTTACCAATCTCATTAGTTTCTTTACATATTGCGTATATTAATAATTTTTAAATGACATTTTTATTTTACTATTCATTAAACAAAAAACAAATGAAAGATTTTATAAGAATTCATTAAATGAAAACAATAAATATAATAATTCATTTATTATAATGTTTGACACGCTTAAAATTGACATATATACCATATACATTTTAAGAATACAATAAAACCAATTTTCAAAGAGAGAAACCGTTGGTGAATTTCAAAAGAAAAGAATCAAGAGGTCGATTCAAATGATTATCGTTCCTAGTTTCTTGACACAATGGTGAAACGTACGAATATTTCTAAGGCATAAATGTTTAATGAACGGTGATATAACGTTCGTTAATTATGAATTATGAATGTAAAAGAAAATCGAAAAAAGATAAAGTGGGAGGGATTAAATTTTTTTCTCATAAATCTTCATTAAATACAAAAGCATGTTCACGAGAAAATAAGAAAAATAACTTCGTGAAACATGACAATCTATTTAATGTCACTTTTGTTTGACCTCTTGTCTTATGACTCTTTTATATACCAATATATATTAGTATATATTATATGAATCTTTTAAATGCAAAATATCATATCTATTAAATTACATACTAATTTTTGTGTATTTCTTAAGAGAATATNAGAAATAACTTACATAGTATATAATTTTTTTAAATTTTCCTTTAAAGATTTTTATGAAAAATTATGTATATTAAAAAAATTAAATATTTTTCTCTCAAAACAAATTTTTTAATTTAATAAAAGAATAATAAAGAAAGTATGGAAAATATACCAGTATTTTTATAAAATTTCTTTAAATTTCGGGCAGTCTTGTTCATTAAAGAATAATTTTAATTCTAAACAATCATCAAATTATATAATATTATTTATTATATAATTTTTTAGATAATTTATATTCTATATTATATTATATTATATTTAAAATCTTAAAAATTTCTATTCAATCAATCAATCAATATTTCTTCATTGTGTTTTATTAATGTACATTTAAAATCTAATTTTATGATATAATATTTAAAAATTGAAAATTAGAAAAAAATACTAATAATATTAATTTTAGATTTTTTTTAAAAATTATAATTCTATAATAATATTTTTGTTTGTATTTTTGTTTCTTAAAAAAAAAATTGATATAAAATATATACGTATAATTATTTCAATAATTACTATATATATATATGAAAGTTATGTATCAAATATAAAAATTTTCGACGATATCGATTACATATAAAATAGTAATAATGAATGTAGAAAAGTAATTTATAATAAATATATAAAATAAATAACTTATAATGATAATGAAATTATGAATAATAATAAAGATATAGAGGTGAATATTTCTTTTAATCATGATCAATAATTTATAATGATGATGAGATTAATAAAGATATTAAAAAGATTATATTAGAAAGATTATATATTTAATTAGAAAGATTATAAAGATGAACATTTTTTTTAATTTTTCTATCATTCATAGAAAATTTATTGTCATTAAAAAACAAAAAAGAAGGAAATTTGAATTACAAATGGAAATAATTTCTCAAATATTATGAAGCGTACAATAGATCTAATTGTATATGATATCGTAATTATTTTTACATTCATTGTTGTCTATGTTGTACAACTTAATGCAAGATTATACAAAAAAAAGAGAAACGACATTAAATCTAGAAATATCTTACTTATTAAGATGAAAAATCAATTTGATATTTAAAAAATTATATTTGCTTTATAAATTATTTAATCGAGAATAATTAATATTAAAAAATGTTTTAATAATTATTATTTTTAATCTTATTTTAATTTTTAAAATTAAGTTAATTTTAAATATTTTAATAAGTATCACTTTTTTAGATTTTTCTTTTTTTTTTATTTTTCTTAATATATAATATGCATCATATAATTTAATACAATTAAAATCTCTATATTCTAAGCTTTGTATTTTTAATAAGCTCTTTTAAGATTTCTTATTATAACTTTTTTAAAATTAAAAAAATAATTTAATTTTATCTATTTATCACTCTTTCTTAACTATTCAATTATTAAATAATTAAAAATATTTCTTTAAATTATCAAAAAACAAGAAAATATTTAAAATAATCTTTAAAAACAGATAATCTAAGTAATACGTACATAGTTATATCTCATATAAAATTAAATTAATAATCGACGAATGAAAATTTTACAAAAATCACGAAATATTAAATACTAAATGTTCAAGGATACTTCTATTTGCATTTATGTCATTAAAATCATAATTTCTTATAGAAATTTCATCGAATTGATTCCAACAACAAAAATCATGAGCTTGTTTTATATCATAAATCTTGATAGAACATTTTTGAACCTTTATTGATATAATTAATATAATCATTATTTCCAATTTAATGAAAAAATACTTATCGCGAGAAATAAATTGAATCAAAATTCTTTAGAAATGAATAATAATGTCATTATTATCAGATTACAATGTCATTTGAATTAATTTATTTAATTTTCAATACTTCTATTATTTCTAATAAAATATAAACACATAAAAATCTACTTTATGTGAATTAAAAAAATAATCAAATTTTAATGAGATGTACTCTCTCTCTCTCTCTTTCTCTCTCTTTCTCTCTCTTTTATAATATTGAAAAATTATTATTAAATTATATTAGAGAAGTTTTCTTCGTAATTTCTTATGTACATAAAACATTCTTTAATCATACAGAATGAAAAAAATATTTTAATTATTACTAGATTCGATTGCAATAATCTAAATAACAAAAAATGATATTCTATTTAAACAAAAAAAATGAAAATGATATTTTATTCATCGAGATTTATCCTCAAAATTTTTATAATTGCTTCTTATACATTGTCTAATTTATAAAAAAAAAAATTATATCGATATTAATAGTAATTTTTGAGTATATTTTAGATCTTCATATGGAACACTCTATATAATTGAATATTATTGAAAAATTATTTCTTTATCTAACATATATACTATTCCATAATATTTATTTGTAAAATCCTTTATCAATCAAAAAAAATATTTATTTATAATTATCTACTTTAAAATTTATTTTCCTATTATTTTATATGGAACATTTTAGCATATTTAAAATATTATTTTTTTATATAATATATATCAAAGAAAAATTGATTCGCATTGATTACTGTATCGATTAAAGAAATAAAAATATTTATAATTATCTATTTTAATAATTTATTTTTTCCTCTCTATACAATTATCGCTTCTCAAAAGAAAATTTCATCTTTAGGTTCGATTCTCGATTGAACAATCAATTCAATTTCTGCTTCGAAATCATTCAAAAAATCAAGCCATTCGGTGATGACATTCACCGTGAGATTCTCTTTTCCATGATATGTCAGAAGGAATAAACAATTTAATCGTTTTTTCTCCTCTTTCCTCTTATTCAATAGTTATTTTTCCATCGAAAAGATTACATGCGATTATTCCTCTCCGAAGTTAAATCTTATGCATACATCGATCATTCATTTGCTTGTAACATTATGAGTTATGAAACGCATAATAAATAATGATGCAAATATGATCAATATTTATATTTAATATATTATTATAATAATAATAATATATATGTGTATAGTGATGTAATTTCTGAATATAATAACAGATTTTAATATATCAATATTAATTGATGATACTAGATTGTATAAATTCATGATATTAATTTCTTATTAAATATATTATAATATGGGAAAATAATGTAATAATTCGATGAGGATTTAATAAGTTTTTAATGTTTTATTTTACAAATAAATTATCATAACTATTATAATTTTACTTAATATTTCAGATATAAATATTTAAGTACAAAAACTGGAAAATAAGAGACAACAGTTAATAGAGAAAAGAACGATAATATGAAATTTCATTTATTTTTTACCGTTTTTTGAAAAATTAGTATGTTAAATAATTAAAATTTGGCTTTAGTTTAATCCCTATATATTCCTCTTTTATATTTAAGAACTTCAAATAAAAGCAATAAAAATCCTTTTCGTTATAATTTTTGAATTATACATAATAAAGAGATAATTATACGGAATAAGTAATATTAAAATTTTATAATATTTATTTGAATAAGATAAAATTAATAAGTTATATTAATAAATGAAATGATTATTTCATCTAATAATAACGATAAAATTTACCTCTTAAAATTTTGTTTTAAATAATTAGTTACTCTGAATCATTAAAATCAATCAATCAAAAAGAAATTTAATTAATTTGAAAATAAAAAAGAAGTTAAAATTTGTAATTGTTTCGAAAAAGTTTATAATATTTTATGCGGTATATTCACAGGTATCATCGTAATGATTACATCATATGATAAATTTGAAAGTGTCAAATACGTAATCACAAGATACGCAACATACTTTAAGTAATATACTTTAAGTAATATACTTTAAGTAATATAATATAATAATTTTCTTTCATATAATATTCAATGTACAATTGTTATAAAAAAAAATCATCTGATTGCCCTTGAAAAATTATACTGTTATTCTTCCGAATCAATAATAAAGTTTCTAGTTTATTTAAATATTTATCTAACTTTATTTGCAATATGAACAATTCAGAAATAAAGATTGAAAAATCAATTTCAAAATTAAAGAAAAATTCTTCATTAAATTAATAATTTTCATAAAATCAATATTTATAATTTTATTTTTCATCAAAGAAAAGTAATTATAGATGAGTAGTAACTATTTTGATTATCATTTTTCTTTTTTGTCATATGAAAAATGATTGAGCTTTCTTATTTACCTAATATTATTTATGAAAATTATCAATTCTTCAAGTAGAAAAAATTAAAATTTTAATGACATTCAAAAGAATATACATATATATGCGAAATCATGATGACTTGTAATAGTACTGCTGAATACGAACAATCCTTTCGCAATCGAAACGTTAGGTTCTCATAATGACATATATGTCGTAAATCGTCAACAAGAGAGACATTCCTGCATAATCAACAGAAAAAAATGTAAGACCGTTGACATTTAAGCGATAATCACGTTCAATCAATTACAAATTCATCTTATTTTTACATAATAATTATAACTAAATCATAAAATTTTTTCTTTTCATTTGATATTTAATTCTATTTTTTAAAAAGAATTTTATGAAAATCTTATGATTAAATATTTATACAAATTATACAAATTCAAATTTTTATGAACAAGATTGTAAAAATAGAACATAAATAAACATTTCAATTCATTTTTCAATTGCATAATATATTTTAGATATTTTGTGTCTTTTCATGTATCTTGTATTAAAGTAAATTTTTATACATTCAAATTTTTCATAAATCCATATCTACTTTACTATTCTACGCAATTTATTTATGATCATAACAATTGCATTTATTAATATCAATTAGAAAATAATAGTAAATAAAAAATCTTACATTTATTTTTAAAAAATTTTTCAAAATTTTATTATTTTAATAACATAATTTATACTGTGTATATATTTATTGTATATTTTTATATTTTAAAAAAAACTCAATGTTAAATTTCACATTAAATATCTTAATTCTCTTATACAATTTAATTAAATTTATAAGTAAAATTTCAAAAATTATCAATTAAAAAGTTTATCTAGAAATTAACAAGTTTTGCAATTAAATTTTATAAATTAAAAATCAATTGATTATTTTATTTTAGATATAAAACTATAAAATTGTAGAAACTGTTTATGTAATGAAAGTTTATGACCTAAAATTCATCATTTATTAACTATTCTATCTAAGGATTACATAATTTTTTTTTTTTTATGCTAATTCAAATATCCCACTTTAAATTCGCATTAATCTACATGTACTTAATTAACTTATTAATTACTTATTAATATTAATTTTACATTCAATTTACAGGGCCGAAAGAATTCAACTATAGAGGGCACAACTACTTCTACAGCGGACATATTCCCGCTCATGCAAATCAAAGAGTGGATTGGTTAGATGCTAGAAACATTTGCAGAGAATATTGTATGGATCTTGTTTCAATGGAAACGCAAGATGAAAATAACTTAATCTTCAGACTTATTCAACAAAGTAAGCGATTTAAATTTTCGAAATATTTTAAAAAAATTTATCAAAATTTTTGACTATTTTATAGTAATAAAATTATGTAACTTGTTAGAATTCTTCAAATATTTTTAAAAAGAAAAAAATCTTTTAGATAATTATTTTAACGAAATTCTTGTATAAATTCACAAGAAATATGAAAAAAATATAAAAACTATATTTATTTCAAATTATCATCTAACTAATAATCTCTCACGTAGAATTGATGATTAAAATTCACGCAAAAAAAGGAAAAAAAAGAATACAAATGAAAAAAAAATTGTTTCAAAATTATTCGAATTTTCAAGTTAAAATTTTTTCTTTCGAAAAAAAATCAATTCATGGAATAAAAAATTTTTGCCTTGTATTTAATTATTCATGAGGGAAAACGAAGCCTTCCATTCAATTGAATAATCTTGAAGAGAATAATCACAAGAAGAAGAATGATTCATTAATGTATGATGCACAGGCACGTTTCGCGAACGGTTGACGCGTGATCACGAAATGTTTTTACCTTTGGTTTCGTGCAAGCTCAATGTATATGCCGATTGCATCGTAATTAACTCCTCTTCTAGTCTTTTTTTTTTATTCTCACTTCTTCATATAATTTTCATTTCGTAACATTCGTTTCACGCATATTTGCAATATTATTAAGAAATTATTAAGAAAGAGGTTGATATATATAGAAACGAATTTCTACAAATTCTTTTTATGATGTTTTTATCAATGTTCTATGGAATAATAATTTGATATGAAATTAAAACTTATTAAATAACTTAGAATTTAGAAAGTTTTTGTCTTATTAACAAATTTATTATTATTATTATGCAATAAAACTTATCAATATAAATAATATGAAAATCTTTAAAAAAAATAAATATCGATTTTCTCAATGCATATTGATAATTTAAATTATATCTTTTTAATTTCTTCTTTATTAGCAATAAAATATAAAATATAAAAATATAAAATATGCCTTTTTTATGTATATACAATTTATATTATTATCAATTTTAATTAATTATTTTTAAAAAAATAATTATTATATAATTGAAACTTGAATATATGTATTTATAATAAATAAAATTTAGTATATACTAGTATATATTAAACTGACAGAAAAATTTTGTCCTTGTGTAACAGATAAAGAAATAATTCTTAAACAATTAGATTAATAGATAACTTTTTTATATAATTTCATTGTTTAATAAATATTTACTAAATATATTTTGTCGTAAAAAGAATCACATTTCATAAAAATTTCAAAAAAAATATTTAATAAAATATATTTATTTATTTTCCATCATGATGTGAGAAATTTTTATAAAAAAAATTTTAAGCCTTTATAATTTATGACAAACATATTATCATTGAAAAAATATATACTCTTTGAAATATAGCATTGAAGATTAAGTTATAAAAATAATTTTATTGAATAAACAAATAAATTGTATTCTAATTATTCAAAAAAAATGAATTCAAATGATGAAATTTTATTAAAAAAGAGTAAAACAAGATCCTAGATTCATAATTGTTGAATTATCATCTTTCATATATAAAGAAAATTCTTGAAACTTCTTACATTATTGCACATGTAAAATAGCAACAAAAAAAGAACTTGTATATAATTGTATAGTTTTCAAAAAATAAAGAAATCGCATTCTATAAATATTTTTTTAAACTTAAACAATACTTAACGAAATCATCTAATATAACTTAAATTTTATATATTAACTATAAAATGCATATGAAAACAAATTCATTTCATCAATGTCTTAAAGTTTAGAAAGTTTTACAGCTGAGATAAAATCAAAGGCAACAAAAAAACAGAAGCAGGTTCGTGAACAATTTATTACCTGGTATAACTTTCGTTCTTTAGCCAACTAGATAATATAGAAATTTCGAAACAAATGATCCATTGCCGACGATGCTTCGAGTTCACGTTAAGTAACATCACGTCTTCAGCCATAGTATTTCTTCACAACTAAAGAAAGTGAAAGAAGAAGAATCAGTAGTTTTATAGTTGGCTATTACAAGAACAATATTATGGAAATAAATTTTGATCGAATACTTCAAAAAACTAGAATCAATATTAAAATCAATATTATCACATAAAATTGTTTTATAATTAAATATTATAATTTGTTATAATTATTTTGGAATATATAATATATAATATTTGATAAAAAAATTTAAAAACATCTTAAAAAAACAAAAACGAAGAATTTATTAATTTTGCAATTAATTATTAATTATAAATAATTTTGAAATAATTCAAAGAATTTTCAATAAAATATCGATTTTATATAATAAAAAATAAAAAAAACAAAAATATAATATTTTTTTACGAATATAATTCTATAATTAAAAAATCCTATTTTTAAAAATTCAAAATTTTGTTAAATAAAAAATAATTATTGATCATATTATAATTTAATTAAATTAATTATTATTATTAAATTAATTAATTATTAGTTATAACTATTAATATAATATATAAATATATATATAAATTTCACAAATTTTTATTGATTATAATCAATAATTATTAAAATAATATTATGAAATATAATTATAAATAAAAAATTTTTTTATTGAATCAAATATTTAAAAAAAAGAAAAATTTAAAATTATTATAATTATCTATTATTAAGAAATATTGAAATCGAATATGAAAAAATTATACAATTAAATAATTTTATAGTATTTTAATAAATAAAAAAATTCATTTTATGCATATAATATATCTATATAAATTTACCTGTAGCTGATTTGCATACAAGTAATTGCTTTTGCAAATAGAGATACAATTTTCATTCATTGTCGAGAAATTAGAATTTCCACATTAACGAGCCAACGACAGAATCTTCAAGGCGAAACGAAGGATTTTTTAAGTGGGTTGAGGCTGAAGAATCTCATCTTTTTATATACATACACAATTACATCACGGAACGCATTAATCATTTCTAGTATACGTATATGAATGTGTATTATCACAGAATAATATGATCTGAAAATTGCTTGATATTTCTAAAAATAAAAATATACTTTATTTTTTTGAAAGTTTTAAAATTCTCTATTGCATAATAGAAATATAAATTTTATATCAAATACTTTTTTCATATTGAAAATTCATTTCTGAATATTTTAATAATAAATTTTCATAAAATTATTGAAAGAAAAAAAATAAATTTTCACTAAATCGAAAATGATAAAATAATGCAAAATAAAAAATTTTAATATATCATTTTATATTATTTTTATATAAAAAATAAAGAAATTTATATAATAGATATTTTTTACAATTTTAAATCAATTTTATTATATCAAAATAAATTATTATTATATACATATTTTATAATATAAAATTTTTATTTTTTTAATGTGTTTATTATAATAAAAACTTATTTGTATAATTTTTAAATATTTATTATATTTTAAAATTATTATTTATTTTATAATATTATTTTATTATGTTTTATTTTATTATAATATATATTTATTTTATTATAATATAGTTTATTATCAAACTAAAAACTACATTATTTTATTATTTATTTATTTTATACATGTATAATAATTTATATATTATATAATTTAAAAATTATAACCTACATTAATAAATTATTTTCTGCTTATCACAGATGATGTTCCTTATATTTGGACTTCTGGACGTCTTTGTGATTTCAAAGGTTGTGAAAATCGTCGTGACCTCGAACCTAAAGCTCTTTATGGATGGTTCTGGTCGGCCAACAGAAAAAAAATGTCACCAACAAATCAAATCCCTGAAGGTTGGTCCTTCAATCCATGGTCTCAAACTGGTCACAAGAAAGTTAGACAACCTGATAACGCTGAATTTGATATAAATGGCACTAGCGAATCTTGCATGTCTGTTCTTAACAATGTTTATAAAGATGGAATCAGTTGGCACGATGTGGCTTGCTATCACCAGAAACCATTTGTTTGTGAAGATTCCGAAGAACTTTTGAACTATGTGGCCAGTACCAATCCCAACATTCGCCTTTAAAGGCCTCGTGAATAAATAATCTATGTCATTAGCACTTGTTTAACCCGTTTCTTTTGCAGTTTAGACGAGACACGAATTAAAAACAGAAAGAAAATAAAAAAACAATCCGCAAATATTTTCTTAATTAAATTAACTACCTGTTTAATTTTAAAATATTGTTTCTGTCATATTAATTTACACATTAAAAGTTTAAGTTGAATTTTAAATATTTAGATTTACTAAATGTAAAATAACAAAATAATAATAAAAATAATTAATTATACATATAGTTATTAAAATACACAGTACTTACAATTGAATATATAAAAGAAAAAATATATATAAAAAAAAATATATAAGTTATTATATATTTACTGATGTAAAGACAATATTTATTGTTTATATAAGATTAATGATTTAAATTACAAAATTTTGTATAAAAAAATTTTTATAAACTTAAATATTATTGAAAAACTATAATCATAATTTTTCAAAAGCATTTAATTATTTTTTTATTACGATACAAATGTTACAATTATTATACATACATGTTATACATGTATTAAAAATATTTATTGAGCAATCATAAATAGCATTGGAATGTGTCTCGTCACTGTACTCTTCCTGTACTCATTTTTCAAAGAAATTCAATAATCTTTTACATTATATTCATAATTATACTATCAATCAATAATAATGTAAAGATATTTATTAATAGATATTTGGCAGATAGACTCTGTACATTTATGAATAAACTTTAATTGTAGGTATTTAAAAATCCACTTATTTACCAAATCTTATAGACAATGCGTATGAATTAAATGTTGCTAAAAATTTGTTGTTATATATATTAACTTATTTTACTCATAATTTATATAATTTACTCATTTTTTGTTATAGTATTTGATTCAATAATAGTAGATTCAAATTGATCATATTTTTCATTTTCTTCTTCACTAGAGACAGAATTATTTTGTTTCTTTCTTTTTTTAGTTTTAAACTTATTACGTTTTAATTTCATTTTATATTTACGCTTTCGAGGTAAAGATGTAGGATCTGCAAATGAAATATTTCATTAAAAAAATTATTAAAAAATAATACATATAACTAATTTTATAATAATTTTTTTCTTTGTGCAGTAATCTTTCTATTTTGATATTCTTTTTACAATTATAAGTTATAATTGTAAATATATGATAAATTAAATAATAAATTGTCTATTTTCTAAAAATTGACATTTATTTTTTTCATGTATAATTCAATATATGAAAAAAATAAATTTAAAAAAAAGATTAATATAATAATAAAATAAAAACATTTTATGTTAAAAGATGATTAAGATATTAATACATACGATCATCAGGAATATTCATTTGTTTTCTCAAAACAATTCGAACTTGTTTATTAATAATTTCTCTACATTGTACATCAAAACCACTTGGTAGCCAGCCTCTTTTTTCATCGCATTTAGTACCAGGTAAAGGATCAGGTAATTTTGCTAACATTTCTTGTATTTCATCCACAAGAACATCACAATACTATAAAAAATCTTATATTTAAAATATAAAATATACAAATAATTCACAAAAATAATAAAATTATAATAAACCTGATAAAACATTTGTCTTGAAGGAGGTATTGTTCCTTCTCGATAGATATACACATTTTCATGTAAATCCTGTTCTTTTTTAGAATTTTGTTCTTGACTTGGAGTTGTGTTTTGCACAATTGTTTTCTGTTTTGAAACTGGTGTTGATTTATATGGTAATGTATATTCTGAATAATTTCTTTTACATTTAACAGTTGATGTCAAACCATCTAAGTAAAATAAAAATAACAATAAAATAATGAACAATAAAAGTTATCATATCATATTATATTATTAATAGTAATATTTGAAAAACTTACGCATAGCTCTCACTCTATAATCTAAAATTTGATATATTCTGGCAGAAATGTCTTTTCTTGGATCATATCCTAATTTTACCCATAGGATTTTCCATGGTCCATTTACAAAGTAATATGACACTGCAGGTAATAAAATTTTTAATTGCTGAGAAGAAAATTTAGTTTTATACATGATTGCATTTTTTGACCAAATTGGTCGTTCCTCAAAAATTTGACGTATCTGTTCAAAATGTATGTTTTGAATAAATTTAACTTTCATGGCAGTTTCTATGCCTGCTGGTGGTTTAGAAGGAACTTCTGCTGTTGAAAAATCAACAAAATTCAAAAATCCCGCTCGTCTTTTTCTAGTTTTTTCTGGAGATGAATTTACTTCGGTTTTTGGTATATATTGTTGTACTGTGTCCATTCTGCTGAACGCAGCTGGTGGTAAAAAATAAGGCACATCATTCTTTAACCAAGAATAATGTGGCATATTACTGGGATAAATTTTATCATATATACATTCTAATTTCTTTGGATCTTCTTTGCTTTGAGTTATAGGTAAATATTGAAAATCACAAAGATCTGAAAAATTATATTATATATAAACTTCTTAAATACAATATGAAAATATTTCTTAAATATAATATGAAATAAATTAAATTCTTTCCATTTTACGTAATATTTACTTGTAAATTTAAATTCTGTTTCAACTCGACCTAAAATTTGTAATTTTGGAAGTTCATAGTCTTTATCTTCTGAAAGATCCTCATATTTATTACGATCAAATGTTGGTGCTATATTTTTTTTACACTTTGATAAATTTACATCATTTGTATCTAAAGATAGATCTTCTAATTCTTTGATATTTTCACAATATAAATTTTCATGAGAAGGACCAGCATCATCTAATATATTAAAACTGCAACTTTGTACTTGATCAATTAATTTAATCATAACTTGATCTTGTTGATCTTTATCATTGCATTGAAATGCATTTTGAATTTCTGATAAATTCATTTTATCTACATTATTTTCAGTATTTTTATTATCATCAGTCATAAAATTATTTGTTAGTTGTTTCTTTTTTTGTTTGGCTTCATCTTCTTCTAATTTTTTTATTCTAGATTTTTTAATTTTAACTCTAAGCAAAAAACCATTAGTTTTATGTCTATCAGCACAAGTTGGTTTACAATAAATATCATCTGGTCTAAATCTTAATTCTAAACGTCGATTTGGAGTATTCACTGCCTAAAATATATATATATAATTAATTAAATAATTAACAATTATAATTATATTATAAATGTTAAAAATTGATATTTTACAACCTTCTATAAGGAAATAACATACCGTTGATATACTTTGAAGGCCACCTAAAGTTTCTATAGCTCTGTCTGGATTAATGACATTTCCAGGATATTTAACACAGATAAACTTTTTATCAAACCTATGGCCTCCAGAAAGTATTGGTCCCACATATTCATTTTCAGAATGATTATCTTTCTTATCTTGATTTTTTTCTGCCTATATAAAATTTACAATGAATTAAATCTTTATTTTTATAAAATATAATGTTTAAGTTACTTAAAAAATAATAATAATAATAAAATAATAATAAATCTTATTAATAAAAAAAGAATTAAACGTAAAATATTAATTTTAATTTAATTTTACATTTTCATCATTATTTCTTTCTGAAATATTACAATAGGAATCATCACTATCAATTTCTTTTTCATAATTATCGATCTTAAAATCTTCATCTTTTTCATTTTGTATTTCAAAATTTTCATCATTAATATGACTTGATGTACTCATGTCACTTTTTTATATCGAATTCTTTAAGTTATAAATATATATTTATATCTTTTTAAAAGATAAATTTTCATTAATAATATATCAGTATATATACCACAGATATCATAGTAATGAGAATATTATTATGACATTAACATAGATTGATGTATCTATGTAAACTATTAAATTATTCTATATTTTATTATAAAATAAAATTGTATTTTCATTTATCTTTCTTTGGCATATTTTTGAGTTTAATAAACTCATATTATACTTGTATTTATATTTAAATTATTAATAATTACATATTGAAAAATTATTACATTTTAGACATTTTATATTTTATAAAATAATATCGCACAATCTAATGAATATCACGTTCTAATGAATTCACACTCTTATTTTTATTTTTGAGATTAGATTCACAATGAACTTGATCATTTTAGGTTAGAAATACATCACGTGAATTCGAATTCTCTAGATAAACTATAGATTTTAGAAATTTTAAAAATTTAATTTTGAAGAAAGAAACTTTTTTATTTCTCTTTTATATAAGACTGTATAATATATATATTTAATAATATATTTAATATATAAAAAATATATATATTTCAAATATTATTGATATAATATTTTAAATATTATTAAATATTAAATATATTAAATATATATATTAAATATTGTAATTATTTGAAAAATAATTACATTTTTACATAATTAACATTTTATAAATAATTGTACATATTTATATAATATAAATTTTCAATTTGTAAAATTAAATATATTAACAATAAAGTTGAAATTAAAAAATATTTTTATAATTTTAATATATATTAAAATTATAAAATTATTATATATATATAATTATTATATATATATATAATATATTACATCTTATATCTATCATACTATCTTTTTAATCGATTTTATAAAAATAAATTTTAAATTTAAAATAATATTATAATTTAATATTCATTACAATTATTAATATTATTATTAATATTAAGAAATGATTTTTTTATTAAAGGAAAAAAAGAATATAAATATATATAATAATATTGTACATATAATAAAATGTTAATGTTGATAAAATAAAATGTATCAAATTAATAAATAAAGAAAATAAAAAAAAATAATAATACAATATAATAATATATAAGAAACAAATAATAATAAATGTAATTAATTTGATAATCTTAAATTTATTATAAGATTATAAATATGAAAAATAATAAATAAGCTATTTCACAATATATGTTAATACCTCAACCCTTGTATCTTTAAACAATATTATGCAAAATATATGACTTCTTCATTAACAGTAAATTTATTTGAAAATAAAACAATAATAATATATTTAAACAATTACTATCACATATTGTTTCTATTTCATTAATAAAATTTCAATAAATAAAATATAAATATATAAAATATAAATATTCAAAATTATTAAAAAAGAATAACATTCTAATAACTTGTTTCATTGTTATAAATCGGGATTTCCTAACACGGTTAATTCTTGTAAGAATCAAAACATTTCAATGATTACGTCCAAAATGAAAACATCGATTTGATCGATGATCGAAGTTTGACTTTTGATTTCTGTGACAAAGCAACCGGTTAATTTCATTTGGACGAAGCTACAACGACGTCCGGCAACGAACGTATAGCCGGCGATAATTCCTCGATAATAGCTCGATAACGGGTCTTATTGTCCCATGGAATTTCAGCAGAACAGTGCAACAACAGCGGTATTCGGAGACGCCACGACAATCAACACGCCGAAAATTTCCTCGCCTTTGTATCGACGCAATATGACACCGGATAAACGAAGTCCCGGTTCTGTTTGTCGAATCTGTCATGAAGGTATGTCTGACAATTTCTACTTTATTTTTTATCTTATTTTATCTTATTTTATCTTTTTTAAATATATCAATCATGCAACTCGATCTTTAATTTTTTAATTAATGTGGAATTAATAATGAGAATACATATTAAGTTTTTAACATATTAACATAAATAACATATTTGAAGATTATTTTAATTTGTTTTTCATAAAATAGCATATAGTATATGTGCTTTTTAATAAATAATATATAACGTATCAAACATGTTTAGTTTATTTGGAAATTAAGTGATTTTATGATTTAAGTGATTAAGATTAATAATTATATATGAAATAATTATAATTATATATGAAATGTTTATAAATCAAAGAAAAAGTATTTTTATGATTTAAATTAAAAAGTTCAAAAAAATGAATTATGTGCAAAATCCTAATATATAAAATAAACTTTTATGAGTAGAAAAAATAATAGAAGAACATAAACTAAAATCTGAAAAACTTTTAAAAAGTAATATATAATTTCGATGTGACTTTGATATTATTTTAATAGTTATGTTATATTTGAAAATTGCTTCATTTCTATTTTTAATATAGCGTCTATCTTTTCAGAAAATAATATATATATGATACAAAATATATCAAATAAATCAAAATATTTTATAAGTCAAAACGAAATATTTCATATATCATATGATATTATATGACTAAAAATAACGTTAGAATTAAAAAATTAGAATAAAACATAGTATTTTTGCAAAACATATTTGAAAGAATTTCTTTATTTTTATATAACAATTAATGATTAATTTCGAGATTAATAGGAAAGTTTGAAAATAGTGACGTACCTGTATAATAATATATACTTGCTGGTATTAACAATTTTATCATTTATTGCACTTTTTGTTACAAATTTATACTAAAATTTTTATATAGTAAATTCAAGAATGAAACTATATGTATACAATAATAAGAAAATAATTTTAACAAGTTATATAATGTAACAATAATTAATTTAAGATTTATATTATTATTGTTATATTTGATATATTTAGCAAATAAGAAATGATACGATAAGTTTATTAAAAAATTACTAACATTAACATATTATATCAATTTTGCATTTTTTGCATGCTACTTTTGATTTTTAAAATAATTTGATATATATAATTGATACAACATATTAAAATCTTTTTACAAAACATAATAAATAATGAAACAAAAAAACAAAAAAATAATGAACTCATAATAAAATTTTCAAATTCACTCAATAATAAAATCAAAGGTATATTAAATTATTAAAAAATTAAATTTATATCTTATAAAATATAATCAAAATATATCTTATAATTAAAATTTTATATACATCAGTATTATTTTAAATAAATAAATAAATAAATATATATATATATATATTAAAATACTATTATTTCTATTATCATTATCTTATTATTTTATTTTTCATATATTTATAAATTTGTGTAAATATACTTTTATACATTAAAAATACTTTTAAATTCTTTTAAAATACAAAATAAATTAAAATAATCTATATTATTTTTTTTAAAATATGTACATATATATTTTTATTTTTTTTTTCAATAAAACAACAAAAAAAATAAAAAACAAAAAAAAAACAAAAAAAATATTTATTATAATTCATTTTATTCATTAATTTATATAAAATATTTACATTAAAAATATTTATTTTATTTCTTTAAAAATAAATATTAAATATTGGAAGATTTTCGTAATCTTCAAATACAATGAATTTATATTATATGTAATTATTATATTATATATTATATATGATATATATTATATTATATATTATTATATAATATATTATATTATATATTATATGTAATAATTTGATTGTTTATATTTTAATGAATATATGTTATATTTTATATTTTATATTTTATATTTTATATTTTAACATGTTATATTTTAATCAATTAAATTTTAATTAATAATTACTTAAATTCCCATTTAAAATCGATTGGAGAGTTGATACCACAAAGAATCCAATGACGTTTCGAAAGAAATTGTGAGTCACAATCTGTTAGATTCTGCGATGAAACGATAGAAGCATAAATTATAAGTAAACAGTAACATGCAAACTATATACATGCAAACATATATATATATGTATACAAAAGTATATGTATCTTTATATTCACATAAAGAGATATGTTTCATTTCAATGAAATTTTATTTAAAATTATAATATTATATATAAATTTTTATTTTACTATATTTTATTATACTATATTATTATATTACTATTTTATTATAAATTATGTCAATCTTTTTTTTTCAAATAATTTTATATGTGATTTTCATTACTACTTTGCATTTTCTCGATCATCATGTATAAAAATAGATTTTATTTTATTGAAATAATTTTTCGAAGAATTTTACTAATTCTCTAATAAAAAAAAAATTTTGATATTATTTTAGATTGAAAACATTTGATTCAGAGATTTTTCGGATAATCGTTTAAATAAGATAAATTCGATTTACATGGATGATCGAGTGAATATAGTGCAGCACGAAATGTGGTTGCAAAGATACGATAATTGAAAACCGTAAATAGAATGATTTAAGTGTTCAAAGAATGAAGAAAGCTATATATATAAATTTGTTTTATAATAATTTATAATATTTTAATTTATCGAAATAAAAGATATAAATATATAGGATGTTTGATTTAAAATTTTGAACTCTTTGATTTTTATCATTATTATTATTCACTGTAATAAATATTTGAATGTAAATTGTATAATTACAAAAGATATATATTCTGATGTGATTAGTTTTTTATAGATGAATAAAGATCATATAAAAATCAACTTTGTTTTTTCAAATGAATTTATATATTTTTTAATTAATTATTTAATATAAGTTAAAAATCTATAAAAAAAGTATTAAAGTACTTAAAAATTATTAATTTAGATAATATTTTAATTTAAATTTTATAAAAATTATTGTATGAAAGATAAAGAATATACAAAATGTATATTCATTTATTTATTCTTTTCTTGTTTTTTACAAAATAATTTGCAAAATTAAAATATTTCTTAAATTAATAATTTTTTAACTTTATACTTTTACTTTATATTTATTTATAAAAACTATTAAATTACATTAAATAACTATTAAATATTTTATTCCATTAAATATTTGATTCCATTTGAAAAAACAAAATTCTTTGACATATCGTAATCTATAAAAAAATATCAAATATGCATTTCTAGAATTTGATAATTACATATAAAAATTTTTCAAACAATTTTCGATATTTTTAAAACAAATTTCGATTTTTAAAAAATAAAATACATTATAAGAATCAATGATGTATATGTAATTATCGAATATAATTATGTAATTATCGAATAATAATTAACATCATACTTATTTTAATATAAATCTATTAAATTCTTATCTATTTAAATGTATTTAATTATTTTTAATTACAACAGATACAAAATATTATATTAAAAATAAAATTTATAATTAATAGATATTATTTTTTATTGAGTATCATTATTGAATATTTTGAAACTAATTGTAAAAAAAAATTTTATAAAAACTTTATCTAGAATAATTACAAATAATAATTAATAAATAAATAAAATTACCATTATATTATAATATTGTAAATCAATAAAGTTACCATTGTATTATAATGTTTAATGTTTTAAATTATTTTATATTATATTAAAGTATTTTTATATTATATTAAAATTATTCATATAAATTAATTTATTAATGATAAATAAATGATTTATTAAATAAATAAGAGATTATGATGATTATTGAAATAATAACAAAAAAAATGTTTCATAGATGGAACCGTAGAAGAATTGATAGATCCTTGCGCATGTTCTGGCACATTGGGTCTAATCCATACTTGTTGTTTGGAAAAATGGTTGTCCATGTCGAACACGGATCGTTGCGAAATTTGTAAATATTTATTTTCGATACAAAGGAAAAATAAATCGTTGTCACAGGTAAATTTTTATAAAATATTTGTTTTATTTTTTACATTATTTCTTACAAAGTATCTTTTATATAAAATTTAAATCTAAAAATTTAAATTGTTTATACAATTATATTTTAATCAATTGATTAAAAAATAGTGTTTTTCCTATCGTTTGGATTTACAAATTATTCGATTTTCAGTATCCAAGTCTTAATTATTTCATTCTCAAGTATTAAAATATATTTAAATAATAACACTTAGATTCGGATTATTTCGAGTATTTGTTTAATTATATTATCAGATATTTATTTAATTCAGATTCGAAACAATGCCGTCTAATGGGGCTGCAATAAATGTCGCTGTAGTCAAAACCAAACATCGCAAATCGTTTATTATCACTAACATTTTAATATTAATAAACATATCATTTTTAGAATCCATGATAAATTCAAATATTCAATTTTTTTTAAAGAAGAATTGAGTCATTCATTATTAAGCATTTTGGTCTTTCTATCTAAATATATATATAAATAAATATATATATATAACTTATGTTATATATATTTAATTTATATAATATTACAATTCAGTAATATGATGTTGCAAAAATTTTATTAGAATTTATTAAATATAAAAATATTTAATATTTATTGATATTTATAAATAATATAGAGAAACGTAATTCATAGACAAATTAATTAATATGACAATAAAAAGTCATTATTAGTTATAAATTGTTTGTATTGATATTATATTTTTATATTTAATAATATTTTTAAAATATTTTTTTCTTTTGTGTAAATAATAAATTATAATAAATATCACATATCATTTCTAAATACAAAATAAAACTTTGTATCCTAATAATTATAAATAATATAGTGTATTATTATTATATATCATTAATCTAAAATGAAACACTGCTTCAAAATAACACAATATTCGATTCCTTAAACTTTTTAAATGCAATAATTCTTAATTATCATAAAAATAATTTATAGAATTTATAGAATTTATTTAGATAATTTAGTTAGATAATTTAAAATCTCATCTTTTGTTCATTTCATACTATTCATTCTTATAAGAATGAATTCTTACATTTCTAACTCACAAAATAAAAAGAAGTAAAATCTATGAATCATTAACTTATTTAAAACTTTAGATTTTGAATTAGATCTTATCATTTAATTAAAAAAAAAAAAAATATCAAATTAAAAAAAAAGAAATATCAAATGTGACGATATATATTATATATTATATTAATGCAATAATATTTTTAAATTGTTAAAGACAATTAATTTGTTACCCAGTTTAAGATTATTTTCTGGTCAAATTGATATGTAATTTTTATAAATAAAAAAAAATTATACGAGATAATAAAAAAAATTATTGAGCTTTATTTATTATTAAATATATGTAAATTTTTTATTATTGATTCTATTCTATTCTAATTATTGGTATTTATTTTATATGCAATTTTTTTTGTATAGTGATTTCTTATATAACATTTATTATTGTAAAATATTTAATTATCCAATAAATAAGATATTTTAAATTTCATGTAAATAAAATATTCTATTAACAAAAATTTTTTTTGGAACATTTGTATTTATTCCAATATATCTTAATAAATAACGAATAATTATACATGTAAAAATTGCATGCAATTTGATCTAAATTTCATAGGATACTTAAAATCGGCGTTTTTTAATTATCAATATTTTTAATAAATACAATTTTTGTAAAAATTATATTGTCCCATTTATGCCAAAGGAATATACATGCAATTCAATATCTTATGTTCTTGAATTCAAAGATAAAATTTGCGCATATTCCTTCCTCTGATACAGGGACAAAAAATTTATACGAAAATAAATATAATTAATTATAAATACAAATTATTATAGTCTTTCAAACAATGGTGGAGAACTAGGAATATATACGGACCGCAAGGTATAACTGGTGATATAGTGTGTCTGATAGTATTAACTCCACTTTGTATTGCGGCAACATATTTATGCGCTGTTGGTGCATCCGCTTACAGCAGGCTTGGTTTTTGGGAAGGAACAGGTTTGGCTATTCTTTGTTGCATGTTGGTGACCACTTATTGTTTGTGGTTGATCGTAACTCTCAGGTATGATTTATGCTCTTCATGTAATAAAAGATTATGAATTTAAAACAAAAAAAATTGAAACAAATATTGGAATATTCGCTAAAGTTTGCAGGTTGCTTGTAATAATTGTTTGTTGTAAATTTATATTTCAATTTTTACATCAAAAAGTTTACATCAAAAAGTTTTTCCAAAAGTTAGCCATTATTATGTTATAATAAAATGCATCGACAATATATATCGGTAAAAAATTAAAAGAAAGATATCACTGCAAGTTCAAAAAAGTTGAAATGATCGTTTTGCAGTATGATAATATTAAAATTATCTCTAAAACGAAATAAATTAGAATAAATTTATCATTTTCAACTAATATATCATCTAGATTATGAATGTCTAATTTATGGACATTCGTGATCTCCAAAAAAATTGTACTTTCGTAATTTCGTTTATATTTGCATTTTAAATGTCTAATATAAATAATTATATAAATAAAAATCTTCTAAACTATATTTATTATTTATGTAAAAATCTTTTTTATATAGAAAATTTTATAAAATTTTCAGATTCAGCTTACTTCAATATTAGCTATGTATATATGGAAATATATAATAAAAATGACTTAGAATATAATAAATAGAACTATGAATATTTATATAAATTAATATATTATTACTATTATAATATTTATTTATTTATTTATTATATTATATTTTATATTAATTATATAATTATATTTCATTATTACAATTATAAAAATACAATATAAAAAGTAAATATTATAATGAATATTAATTCATTATTTAAATATAATGAATATTTACTTTTATATTTACTTTTATATTTACTTTTATATTTACTTATATATTTACTTTATAATTATTTATTATTGAATATTATAGTGAACATTCTAATATTTTTTTTTTATTTAATATAATCAAATATTCTTTTTCAGTGTTAGTATATAATAATACACTAATAAATAATTATATATCTTGATTGTAAGAAATTCCAAGATTGACCGAAAGTAAATATAATAAATATTGATGACTAATATCTTGCACAATTCGTTATCAATAATATCATCAATAAAAAAGAATGACTATCAAATATCTGTACATATCTTATTCAATTAACTGATATCATTTAATCTAAATTCTATAATAGAATAGAAATTTTTTTTAAAAGACACATATATATAAGTATGTTAACAATAATAGTCATTGAAGTAATTCAAAGCATAGAGTATAATCCAATTAAGGAATAAATGTATCTGAATATATCTTAATATATTAGAAATATATATATATATCGTGTATGTATGTATATATAATATATGAAAAATGTATATGTAGGATACACAAATAATTATAAAAAATTTTACTTATAATATATCTTATTTTTTATATTGATTGTATTAATATATTTTATTCTTTGTCATTAGTATTATCTTATACAGACTAATAAAATTTGCGATTTGAGATACTTTTTCGATTTCAAAGACGAACATAAAAGTTGATATATAACAATGGCTATAAAAATGGTTGAGACTTATTCATTAAGTTATAACTAATATATAATATAATTATAATCAAAACGGAGATAAAGTGAGATAATTTTATCTTTGTTATACTACATTTTATCTTTGTTATACTATCTCTCTATCTACTACTGCCTACTTCATTTAACTTCATTTAATGTAAACTTCATTTATAATTCATATATAATTTAATAAATAAGACTCAAAAAATTTTATATACCAAGTTTTATATTTATTTTAATTTTTTAAAATCGGTAGTTCTGAAAATGTTTTATGAATATATTAACATTTTGTGTTATAAAAAATGCTTCTTTATCTAAAAATCTCATATCTTTTTTTTAATTTAATTATTGAAAATTTCATTGCATTTCTTTTTTATTTGAAAAAAAAATGATCTAATTGAATGCTTTTTAAATGCTAATTAAGTTGAATTAAATCTGTTATAAATAGTTATAGAAGTAGGTAAATATATATTTTATATATTCTGTGGATTATAAGTATTTTAAATATTCTGTGGATTATAAGTTATTTAGTAGATATATTTTTCTAAATAAAATTAATTTTAGATAATAAATGAAAATATAAAAATATAAAAATATAAAATAATATTTTACGAAATGCGTATATTTTAAAATGATATGAAAATAAAATTAATTTTAATTTGAATTTAAACTTTTCAGATTTCATTTTAAATCGTGGCAACAATGGCGTAGAAGAAATCAAGATGTTAAGTTAATAATAAAACATAAAGTCCGTGGATTTTCGAATTTCCAAGTCATTTAAATAATAAGCATTAAAAATAAATAATTTAGATCTTAAAAGATTATATAATTTAGGTTTTGAAAAAAAACGAGTCGACTGAATAAAAAATTTTTAATAGTTTTTATTGAAAAACTATTAAATCCTTTAAAAGTTGTAATTCATTATGTATTAATTTTAAAAAAATCTTATCTTATACTGTTCTTGAAATAATTTCTCTGGGAATTATTAAAATTATTTCGTCGATTCATTGAATATTAATATTGTAAATAAAAATATACTATTAAGGATATAGATATATTCTGGTCGAATCTGTGATTCAACAATTCAATTATTGCATATTATCGTCCTAAAATATGAAATAATTTTATTTAAAGCACAAATTTATTAACCTCATGAATGCGTTAATATTGTAAATCGTTATTACCTAATATTAATAAGTGCTCAAATATTGAAGTACCTGAACCAAGAGATAAAGCATAGTTTTATCGATGACTTAAAAAGTCTATTTATAGATTTCTTAAAATTTAAAAAACGAATGAAAATCTGTTTACTAATCTTTAGAAATTTAAATACTAAAATAAAAAATATTTGATTATATTCAAATTTCAAGGAATTTTCAATAATATTTATGTACTTAAAAAATGCTTTTCTCTTATGTGATATTGATATATTTATTTTTTATTTTAAGTTGAAAAATAATAACAAAATATGGCTGAGAACAATGCAAAAATTCACATATACATTTTATCTTATCTTTGTACCAAGATTATTTAATTAATAATGATATATACTAGAATTAATAATTTATTTTTATTTATCATTAATGTCGAGAGTTAAACTCTATCTTTTATATAAAGCTAACTCAGTAAATTGCGTGCAATTTTTTATACATGTATTTTTTTAAAAATGAATGTAAGAAAGTTTTTGATACCAATATATTTTTTTGTAATTAAATATTAAAAATTTCTAATGATTTAAAAATAATATAAACTTTTGTATGACATTTAAAAAAAACATTTACTTTTCATTTATTTATTTACTATTCAATTATAATTTGTTCAATTATTGAAAAATATTGTATCAATTGTGAATTTTTTTTTTATATTTAATTTACAATAATATTTTAATAATATAGAAATTTTAATAAAATTGTAATATGTAAATATAAATTTGTTAAAATTTATTTATTAAAATATTAAAACAAAATAGTATTACATTTTACAATTAATTATTCTTATAATTTACTTATCATCTATAAATATTATTCAATTTGTATTATACAATAAGTTTAAAATCTGTTGAAATTATAGAAAATAAACAAGAATCAAAAAAAATTATTTACCTTATTTGTAAATAAATAAATAAAAAAAAATTAAATAAAAAAAAATTATTATTGTTATTATTGTAATTATAAAATTATTATAATAAATAAATTAAAATTATTCAAATTTATCACATTTATTTTTAGGTATAATAATATAGAAAAAAATTTATAAATGAATAATTTCATTTTATACAAATTTTTCATAATAGGTATAAATTAGAAATCAAAAAATTGAAAAATTATTACAACATAGAAATGTATGCATTTTTTTTTTTTTTAGATATATATCTATAATTAGTTTCTTTAAGAATAAAGTAAAATTTTTAATGTTAAGTAAATAATTATAGATTTTTACTTGATATTAATATAATATTTAAAATAAAATTAATTTTATGTATTTACAATAATTTACAAAATGAATATAATTCATAAAAATCTAAAAGTTATTATAAATGCGGAAATAAAATTCTTATATAAATATAGATTATTCAATTAAATTATAAAAGAGGTTTTAATATAAATTACTATAACGAAAATAAATCATTTTATATTGTAGAATAAATAATTATATATCGAAAGAATTATTAAAATTTATAATTTTTATTATTAATATAAAAATATTCAATTCTTTAATTACTTTTTCATTAAAATTAAGCAAAATACTCTTAGTTTCATAAGATTAGGTGAAAAAAAAATTTTTTAAGAATTAAAAAAATGTAATCGTTGATTAATCATATTGTTAACAGATGCATTAAAATTAGAATTAAATAGAATTAAAGTTGAAAAAAGATAGAACTTCTTAGAAATTATAACCAATTTTTATTCAATCGATCTTCAACTTTCTAAGAAACTCATATATGCAAATCATGGGAACAGTTTAACAAGCTTTAATAGTACATAAAAAATAAATTTAATGTGACTAATCGTTTAGTATGACGTGGTACATATATATATAGAAATATTAAAAAAAAATAATAATAAATATGAAAATATACATCAAATGTACATATGATAAAATAAAAAAAAAAATTTTTTTTAATTAAATTTTATATAATATTTATAATATTTTTATTCATTATTGTATTAATTTAATTGAGAATTTCAATGATTATTAAAATTAATTAACGTAATTGAAATATCAAAATATTTTATTTTTAATGTTACTTTTTTTTCATAAAAATTTTTTCATATATGAAATTTTAAATGAATTAATTAGATTAATAATTTTTAATATTTAATATCATATCAATCTAATTTATGTTAATTTTATTAAGATTATGAATTAAAGATCATGAATATTTCCGTGACGTTAGAAATAAGGAAATATAATATAAATATTTTCCGTACTTCTTAAAATTTGCATATGAATATCAATTTTCATAGTCAAATATTAAAACCGAAAAAAATATCAAAGATATTAAATAAATATAAAATTAAAATAATATTAAAAAATAGATAAAAATTCTTAAGTAAATATAAATAATTAAATAATGAAATTATAATTAATATATGAATATATAAAAGTATTGATGAAAACAATTTAGATCTATTTTGAAATGTGTATTAGTCTCCAAAATATATAGCAATAAAATAATAATATCACACAAATAATATTTAAAAATTTTTTCAATCGTAAAATAAATTATTTTTTTTTATTAAATATTTTTATTGTATAAAAATATTGTATAAAACTATTTAAATTAGAAAATTTTTCTATTATTTATGTGTATTATAATAAATAATTAAAATTAAAATCTGAATAATTATTCTTAAATAATAATCCTTATTTTAATAATATTCGAAAATATAATATTTAATAATAAAATTATAATACGTAATATTCGAAAATATAATATTTAATAATAAAATTATAATACGTAATAATATTTAAAAAGCATAAATTAAATTCTTAAAAATTTTTCTATTTCAATTAATAACTATTCGATTTCTACAAATATCTAATAATTTAATAGATATTATCTTCATAATTCATGTATTATTAATATCTTTCTAATCGTTCGAATAAGGAAGTAACGCATTAACAATGTCACATCTCGACCTATGTCAAATAACAGAAATTCTTATTTCTTATCAATGAAATAATCATGTTATACATTCATATTAGATTAAATTATTGTTTTATTTGAAAAGAGAAAATGAAATGTCAATCTTATCAAATCATAAAATGATAATGTTATTGATCTTATATACTTTTTAAATATATAATTTATATCTACTAATATATATTTCAAAATTATATAATGTGCTAAGAATATAAATTTCTAAAAAAAATTTCCAAAAAAAATTTAAGCATAAGATATATCAAATAAATGAGCCAAATATGAATAAAAAATATTTATATTAAATTTTTCAAATATTCAATTTATTTTTTCATTTTTTAAATTTTCAGTTATCAAAGACGAATAATAATATTAAATCCAAAATTTTTTATTTTTATGTAATATCGACAATATTCAATAGAATGATGGAATCAAAAAAGAAATTATTAATTTTCATCGATAATAAACAATAGAATAGACAATTTATTGACATACATCATTTTTTATTTCGTTTTATTAATTAAAAAATTTTTTATCTAATCTAAAATATAGGCAGAATTAAATATGCATTCTTATTAAATAAAACAATATAAAAATTTATTTATTCATATTGGTTGTATGTATATATGTATATATGTATATAGTTGTATGTATATATTACAATGTGAATTTATATTACATAATATATCTAAAAAATTTAGATATATTATGTGCAATAATTAATAAATTATAAAAAATAAATAAATTTTTCTTTGCTTTTGCTATTCTTATATATGCCAATAATCGACTATTCAATATTATTACTTTTTTTTCAATTGTTAAAATTATATTGATGTTAATATCTGAAAACAACATTCAAAAGACAATATACAAATTTTTCTTTCTTTAAGTATAATTAAAAAAATTAAATTAATCTTTGTATATATAAACTTTTTATACGTCAAATTTTTATTTATTAATTTTTATTCAAAAAATTCCTCGAAGATTAAACTTTGATAATTCGAAGATTTTAGTTTTTCTTTTGAAATTCGAAATATCAAGATTTGTTTGATTTTTTCTGATGATAAAATAATATTACGGTTAATCATTCATTTTTTAACAAACATATTTTTAGAGCATTTTAAAAATTTCTGAAATAATTTTGATGTTATGTTGGTGATTTTATGTATAATTTTTATTTGAAAAATTAGAATATTATAATTTTTATTTGAAAAATCCATTAAGTTAATTATGATATACATATTGTATATTGTATATTTTACGTAGTCTTTATACAATATTTTGATATTTCTTCTGATTTTGTATCTGATATTCATGTGAATATTTAACATTTAGAAAATTATATCCTGTGAAGCGGAATAAAAATTAATAAATATTAACAATGTTAATTTAATAATAATAATATTGTGAATTAATATTACATGTTCAATTTGCAATTTCATTTTTTAACATGAATTAAAAAATTGAATTAATAACTAATAAAGTAATAGTAAAAATAAATAATTTATAAATAAGTAATTAAATTTAAGTGATTTATTTAAATTAGAGTAAACTAAAATAATTTAAATTAAGTAAACTTAATATTTAAATTAATAAATATATTTAAATTAAACATTATTAAAATAAATTAAATTGATTTTGTATTTTATATTTATAATAAATTTTAATTTCACTAATTTTGCTCTAAATTTTATATATAGTTTTAGT